GGGCAGACATGTCTGCACTGGAATTTTTGTTCCCTGGTCTTCATTGCAAAGAGGCAATTTCATCCCTGCTTATAAAGCTTGGGGAGAAGGCAGGGAATTTATATGTTGGTCCTACAAGAGGGAAGTGGGGGGAATAATTAGGCTCCATAGTTGAGTTCTAGCTCACGGCACCTCTCAGCTTGTTGTCTGCCTTGTTTGTACTTAGTTTTTGTTTCCCCCAGGAGGTCAACACACAACCTCTGCCCCAGAGAAATCTTCTACTTGTTCCAATGTGTTAGGAGTCATCATGTTCCAGGGATTCCTCATTCCTGGCTGCCTTCAGCATCATGAGGCTTCCTTCCATCTCTTCACAGGTGCAAGTATACAGACAGAGGCCAGCTCACCCTGCCTGCTCTCACCTCTGCTTCTCCCTGCAGAGAGGCTTCTCCATCAACATAGCACAGTGATCTCCTTCCTTCTGTGCTCCCAGTGGCCAGCTGCATGAGGTACAGCAGGGCTGGGAGGGGAGAAGAGACACAGCACCGGGCTAGAGCTGGACACTCACTATGCTGGGGCACAACTGTTCTCAGAAGGTTCCTGGAAGGCTCCCTCCTGTCTCATGGCCTGGTCTCAATTGAGACTTTGCCTAACAAGCTGGGGAAGGATATGCTTGGGACACAAAGGGCTGCTCCCCATGGTATAGCCAAGCATAAGAGGTCAGGCCCCTGATTCAGTGCTAGCCCAGCTACTTCATTGCTGTGAAGATTGGGTCAGATACTGCCTCACATCAATAAAGTGAGACATCTAGCCTCAGCTTCCTCTCAGACTTGTCAGAGGACTGATTCATTTGTTCTTACAAAGCACAGTGAATCTTGCAGATGGAGAATGCAAAAAGAGGTAGGAAGGCAGTAAATCAGGAGTGCCCAGGAACATTGTCCTAGATACATCCTGTAAACTAGCACCAAATGGCTCACATCCATATTATTAAACTCTCTTCACCTCTGAAACCATGACCTCATTGAGCAGCCCATTGGGAATGGTCCTCTGCCTATAACTCCCAAATCATGCCTGGCAATTGTCTGGGACAGTTCTAGTGGGACCAAATAAAATCATGTCAGTGCTTTGCTGACACTTAAATCGGATGATTGAGTTTGTATTCTAGGAACGTTTCCTGATGTTGCTTAATTTACTAGTAAAGACTTAATTACTAGTGAAGACTTAATGTCTGTTCTATTAAATTACCCTCAAAGTCAGCACTGCCCTGATAAAAATCAGCAAGTGCTCCTAAACCTTCCTGAAAACTTTGATTCCTCAGTCATTACTTTCCCATCTCCTCAATAAATGTGGAAAAAATTATTAAATAATCAATTTGTTATCACTTAAAGATAATCAGGTAATTCAAAAAAGCCAGCAGAGAAAAACCAAGAACAAATAATGCAAACTGTTTAGCTTTCTTTGTCACAGTAACTGAAATAGTAGAGAGAGCAAGCCCAGCAATACAGGCTATCCTGATGTGTACTAAGGCTTTTTGAAACAATATTTGTCATAGGTATGCACTCTGAAACTAGTTATCAGTAGTTTGTCATCAGATCAAGAGGACTTACAAAGAACAGATCTATCAACTGGTTTCTCCAGTAACTTGGATAATCAAATAAAGTATATTTATAAAATGCATAGTTGGCTTCTGGAAGATCATGCAAGAAGGCACAATAGGGGAAAAATATTTTAGCAAAATGGAGAAATAGATCACATTCAGCCAGCTAAAATTTCATAAAACTGGTGCAAAATACTGAGCTGAGAAGGGGAAGAAATTAAATGCACCAATAAAGAAATTGGGTAACAGGGTATAGGGTAAGACCTACCTAGACTTCAGCACTGAGGAAACTTCAGGAGACTTCAGCATTGAGAAGTTACAGGGCTGTGAAGCAAATATGAATTGCCATTGTGAAAGTATTGCATTAAAAGACAAATTTCCTTCTGCATCAGTAGGGCATACTGCCTATAAGACAAAGGGGATCATTTTTTGCTTTCTCAATACAACCAAGTTAGATAGGATTAGTCTAGGTTTGGATGGGAGAATGGTAACAAACAGTATAAAAGGTGCAAAATGCACAGGATTGAAAGAAGAGGACTGAGTCTAACAGGAAGAAAACTGAAGCGGGCATATGATAATGAAGCTCAAATACATAAGGTTGTTAGAAGATGCTGATCAATTGCTCCCCATGTGTGCTGAGAATAGGTCAAGATGCAACAAGCTCAATTAGGTTACAGAGAGGAGACAAACCTTCCCTGCTGCCAGTCAATGAGCAGTGTAACAGGTGCTGAGGAGGTGCCAGCATTCCTGCTGTGTTATGCACGGGTAAGGAAAACACCTGCTTGAGTGGCATCAGTGTATCTGATCCTGCCTCTGGACACACAGCGCAGTGTCTCCTGAATGTTCCTTTAAGGCTGACACTTGGGTATTTTTAGTTTCTAACACCACTTTGTCACTCATTTTGGCTGCAAGGATGCAGTAGGGACAGCATAATCAGGGACACTGAGCAGGGTCTCACCAGGACCATATCCAGTCTCATTACTGGATATGTTATTTGGTGCCCACCTGTATGTCATCACATCCTGCACCTTCCTCTCACAGGCTTTCTTGTTAGACCATCCCATTCCAGAGCCTACTAAAAACCATTTCATTCTTTTCTTCCCACCTTTCTGGCAGGAGGTGTGTTCCATAATATGACTGCTCTCAAAGCTAAAAACTTTTGATTTCCAGCTTAGATATGCACGTTGACAGTAGCAGCTGCTTGATATGGAGTAGTTCAAATTCATACTCATGTCCATGAATATTCTAAAATATGGAAGCTGATGTCATTGCATGTGAAAAACCCCCAGATCTGTTCTTCATGTTTCAAGAAGAAAAATACCATAAATTTGCAGAAGGAAAGGAAGTTTTTCTTTCTTGCATTAGCACGTAGATGACATGAATGACATTACATAGGAAATGAAGACATAAGAGGGATGGATGAAGAAAAGGTGCCAGCTGAGGGCAGAACCAGGAGACTCAAGACCAGGTAACAGGCATAATGAGTTTATCAGCTTGATGGATTTAGGGGTGCCAAGAGGATAATGCATGAATTGAAAACTGCTGCTTGCAGTGGTGGGAATGGGGGCTTGCTCGTGAGGGAGGAACCAGTTCCCCTTTTCTGTCTTCCCAAAAGATGTGACAACAAAGGTCACAGTCATCTGCCCGCAAAATGCTGCATGTTTGTCTCTCTGTGGAGAGGTCTATGTGAGAATTGACAGTCCTCCCCTGAATCAATACTCACCTTTGTGAAGGAGAAAATGCTTTCTGTTGAACTAATGGCTATTTCAGCCCATTGTAAACCATAACAGATGGGTTTCTTCAAACCTCTATGCATTTTTAGATTGTATTTACACTCACTAATCAAGTCTTCTGTCTAAGATGGGAAAAAATAACATTCTCCCACTTTTTCATTTTCTACCTCCCCCTGATGCTGTGCTTCCCCAGGACTGCTGGCTGGGTCCTACCCAGCTTCTTTACTGCCTTCTGACTAGCTGCTTCTGCTTGGAAAGCAGTTATCTCACAGTATCTCAGCTTGGAGATGGGAGTTCTGGCTCCTTTGGGTTCTGAAGTACAGACTCTGTTGCACAGAGTCAAGTACCACACTGGGAAGCAGAAAAGAGTCCAGCTGTCCCTCATTTTTCTCCAGACATTAAATGAGAGTGATGCTGTTACCAACACATGGTATCTCCCACAGTAAAAATGAAGGAAGGGGGGGTGTTTGAAAGAAAAATGAAACACACTAATTAGGTATCAGTATTATCACTGCTTGTGTGGCACACATCTTCACTCCTGCCATTCTAGCAAAATTTCAGTCAGCAGAGGGTATTTAGTCAAAATGAAAATTCAGTCTGTATGTCTAATAAATGGTGCTGCTGCCCAGCCTTCCTTTTTTCCAGCAAATAGCACTGCTGCTCTCTGTCATGTAGCAGCCATGTCCTACCCTGAAGATAGATGCACTTCAGTGGTGTTGGCTTTTTTTTTTTTTTTTTTAAATACAAGATTGCAGCGTTTCATAAAAAGCTTTCTTGGTCAGAACAAGTGTTGTCATGCATATGTAACATCATGATTAGTATCTTGCAGTGAACTGGCTGGCATGCACAAAGTGCTATTTCCAGGTAGATCACACAGCCAGTTTTTCCTCAGCTGCTTTAGCACAACGCTAGTGTTTGAGTAGGAAGCCACAAGGACAATCTGAATAAGACAGTCACAGAATCAATTAGGTTGGAAAAGACCTCTGAGTCCAACCTGTAATGAAATACCACCCTGTCAACTAGACCACGACACTGTGCTCCACATCATCTTTTCCCTAACACCTCCAGGGATGGTGACTTCACCACTTCCCTGGGCAGCCTATTCCAATGTTTGACAACCCTTTCAGTGTAGAAATCCCTCCTGATGCCCCAAAGAGTTCTCATTTATCCCAACATGCCACAAAGCAGCCATTCTGGGTTTGCCTGGTGTTTCCGAGGTTGCCTTCTTCCCGAGTGACCCCACGCACTACAAGCTCTGGTCTGGAGTGGCCAGGAATGCGCTAGCTCTACCTGCGGGAAAACCAAGGGATCACTTCGGGTCTCGCCAGACAGCACCCGAGGGAGCCGGGGTCCCTGAGGGGCGGAGAGGCAGGACCACGCATGACCAAGAAATCCCACCTTAGCTTCCCAGCCTGCTGGTCCTCCCGCAGCCATCCCTCACCCGCTATCACTAGAGAGGGCAGAGCAGGATGGGCCAGCAGCGGCACAACGCGGGAGGCGCCGCTCTGGCTGCCGCTCGCCCTCGGCTGTGTCGGAGCCACCCGAGCGGGCTCGCAGAGCCGGACCGGGCCCCGGGGCAGCGGCTCCATGGGCGCGGGCAGGCAGCGCTGCCCTCCCCAGCATGGCACCCGCCCAGCGCGGCCCCGCTCCAGGGCGGTGGCGCGCGGGGAGCCCCTGCGCATGCGCGGCGGGCGGGGCCGGACCATGGGCAGGCGGCGAGCGGGGCCCAGCGTGGCCCGGGAGGTGAGGGGGGTGCGGGGGGTGCGGCGGCCGGGCTGGCGGGGGGCCTGGAGCCGCAGCCTTACTCCCGCCTTGAGCGATGGCGTGCGGTGCCCTTGCTCCTGCCGAGCCCTTGAGCCAGTGCCGTGAAGGGCCGTGGTGGTGTGTGTGCCCGTGGGAGTGCTGCGGCCGGCCGTGACCACCAGCCCGTTGTGTACGTGCGGCGCTGGAAGTCAGCCGTGTGCTGCTGCTTCTTGAGAGGAGCCCAGTGATAAACCGGCATGTGAGGGGCCTGTAAATCACAGCGAGGAGAAAGGGGAAAGGCTGGGTTTCAAGAGTATGTCTCCCTTCTAAGGCTGCCTTTTCATTGTGCTTGGGTGTTTTGTCTGTGTCTCCCTCACTGGAGATTGCATCTGTGCCATGTGCTTGAGGATGGCTCTTCTTGAGCAGGGAGGTTGGAGCAGATGACCCACTGTGGTCCCTTCAAATCTTACCCATTCTGTGGTACTGTGATCTCCTGGGTGGCAGGAGGGCTGCTGGTAAGCTCTGCTGAAGCTTTGTCTTTCTGTAACCAACCTGAGTTGTGTTAGTTAAGATCTCCCTGAAGCATATGTCTTTCTGGCTCCTGCACTGAACAGTCCAGCTGTCTGGACTCAAGTCTGTTTTAGTTCAGGTCTGTGGGTTTGGATACTGTGGGGACAGTAAATCCTAAATGTTCCTCACAAATGGCTGCAATGGGGCAGAATTCATTCCATGAATCTCACTGGTCACCTCTCTGCCCTGAAGTGTTGTCAGGTGAGCGCATGCACAACAGACCAATGTAACCAGAATGGAAAAGCCAGGGAAATGGCAAGGCATGTCATATATGTGTCACCAGCTAGTAACATAAAGGTGAGTGTCACAGAATCCTTAGGGCTGGAAAGGACCTCTGGATATCATCTCATCCAACTCCCTGGCCAGGGCAGGGTCACCTAGAGCAGATCACACAGGAATGTGACCAGGTAGATTTTGAATGTCTCCAGAGAGGGAAACCCCACAGCCTGCTTGAGCAGTCTGTTTCAGTGTAAAAAGGTTTTTTCCTCATATTGAGGTGGAACTTCCTGTGTTTTAGTTTACAGGCATTGCTCCTCCTCCTGTCACTGGGCACCACTGAAAAGAGTTTGGCACCAACCTCTTCACATCCACCTTTAAGATATTTATATGTATTGATGAGACCCCCTCTCATCCTGCTGTGTGGAATGGGAGTTTGGTTTATGATTATCTGGTGTGTTTCATTGGTTAGGCTTTTATTAGAGAAACACAGTTCTGGGCACTCTAACCCAAATATAACCACCAAAGGGAGTCCAGAGGGCTTTGCTGACTGTCCAGGCTTCCTTTGGTGAGCCTACCAGAGAGAATTGAACTGTGACAATTTTTTTTTTTTGTGTGTGTGGTTGTGGTTTGAGAAGTGGTAGACAGGAAGCGTTGAGATGGTAGGGTCTAGGGTCTACCTTACAAAAAGAGAGGTGGTAAAATGGCTCAGCCTGTTAGGGACCTGCTGTTCACAGAATGAAAAGGGACTGATTTTAGCTGCCACAGAAAATTCCTGCAAAGTGTTTGAGGACTTGTAGTAGCTTTAGATTAAGTTTTGGGGTTTTTTTAAGAAGTTTTCAGGATGGAACATACTAGTTTTGAAAGGATTTTAGAACTACTCTTTTTTGTGTGTAACAGATAAAACTGTCTGTGCAAAGACACTACTACCAGATAAAATTCTTTCCACTTGCAGTCAGGAGAACACTACTGAAAAGAGGTTAGGGAGGAAGAAAAAATAATGCCTTTTAGCCAGAGAAAAAGAGGGCTGTGTTTGCATGACAACCAAGATACTTGATTCATAGGTTAAAATTACTCTGTTCAGTATTATCTTCTGAGCAGTTGTAAAGAAAACTTTTCAAACGAGTCTTAATATGGTGTGATGCATCACTAGCTTTAAAAGGCCTCATCTAGGCAGAGTCATGCTTGTTTAACTGAAGTCATGATGCTAAATGAATGCAATTTTCTATATGGACACTTATCAGATTAGCTTGCACTTACAAATTGCAGGTGTAATTGATATGATCTGGTTTAAATAGATATAAATGGGTCTCCATAATGTTGTGTTGGTTTAAATTCATGCCACTTCTTTCATATAGCTCTAGACTTTTGACAGGCAGCCCTATTGACAATGCTGAGCTGCATAGGACTTGCTTGAGGAAATTCATCAGGAAAATGAAACTGGCAAGACTGGTCCATTTTGTACCAGAATAGTGAAAATGAAATTAACTCAGGAGAGTGACAAGGATGACCAAAGGTGTGGAGGGCTTTATGCAAGAAACTACCAAGCATTTCAGGTCCTTTTAAGCTGGAAAATATGACTGCAAGGGACCCAATATAGGCCTATATCCTCTGCATGCTCTTTGTAGTTTTAAACAAAGAATGAACATACACTGTCAATACAAAGTTAGGGCTATCAAATGAAACCAGCAGCTGACAAGCTCAGAACAAACAGGAGGGGTTGGTTCTTCCCATAACCTGCTGTGAAACTTCTCACCAAAGAATATTGTAACCACTAAAAATATACTTGTGGCTCAGGCAACAACTGAAAAAAAATATCAGAGAAGCAGAAAAGTGCATTAAATTAAAGGCAGTGCCTGGGCAGCAAAATGTCACGTGTGTGCTTCTGTAAAGTATTGTTACATGTGTTGCTGCTTCTGACAGGGCAATGGCTGATCAGTGTCTGTGAAGGAACATAAGGAATAGGGAAAAGGCCGCCACAGTTTGTGCTCAGTGAAGCTGTTCAGGCAGAAGTTTTTGAAAATGTGGCTTACTGCTCTGTGGTCATGTCTGTGTGCGGTCCTGCAAAGCTGCTGCTCTGCGCTGAGGCAGGATGGGCTGACTAACGAGATGGTTCCTGCAAAGCTGAAGGAGGAGGTGGAGGTAGGATCCAGCCTTTCCTCCTTTAGCAGCACACAGGGTTGTTCTGTAGGAGCCATCTTTGCTGGTGGATCATCCTCTGCTGTGAATAGCTTGTCTGGTAAATATTTCCAAGCATGCTGTGGGCGGCGTGTCTGTGAAATGATTTTCCAGTGTGCAAAATGATTCCAAGAGCATGGAGAAAATGGAAGTGTGTCCATGAACAGCAAGTTAGCGGTTGAATTTAAACAAAATTTGTCTCTGCTGGACTGATTTTAATAATCCAGCCAAATTTGTGGATGCAGGAACCATTAATTCTTCTGTGAAAGAACAGCTCAAGTGTGCTGGCAGGTGACAAGGCATGTAAAGACTGCTCAGGGAAGGGGGTTTTTCTTTGCCCCCCCCCCTTCAGTTGGCTTTGATCTGTTTTATTAGGGTCAGAAGATAAAAACCTCATTACCTAATGCTGTTGGATGTCAACGTATGTGTGATATGGCTCTTTGCCAGTATCTTAATTAGGGAATTCATAAAAGCGGAGGGTGGATGCCAGTTCTTGAAAAGCACTTTTAGCCTTTCTGCTGGAAAGAAAGCTTTCATTAATTCGCTACAAAATGTATTAAATGGGATCCAGCTCAATTCTATAAGCAAACCTGCTTCTTTTTCACTTCTCTCTTTCTCTCTGCCTTTATGTGAGCCATTTTGGGCTCTCTGCCCAAGATGGTCCCAACAAATGGAATTTGTAATAAGCATGTAAGTCAGTTTGGATTGAAATCCATTCCAGGTCTCTCTAGTTTAAAAAGGTTTCCAGATCATGAGCAGGTGTTGCCAGAATTCAGCAAAAGTAGCTGAATGCCTTGTCAAAACTGTGGAGCAAAGGAGGCATCTGGTCTTAGATCCCTGTGTGGATCCAAAGCTGCTGGGACTTGACTTTCTGGAGTGTCTCCTGAGGACCTTCAGAAGGGCAGCTCTGTGTGCCCAGATCTGCTGCCTGGATGTGAAGCACGTTTCCTTCCCCCTTTTTAACTGGAACTACTTAAAGATGTTGCTGTGAATGAAGTCCTGTGTCCCTGCTACCATCTGTGTGAACCTGAGGAGCTGTCATGTGAGCTTTCTGCTTGCTGCATTTCAGCTCTGTCTCAAAGGATCCCCTTCAAGGAAAGGAGAGCTAAAAGGAGGAAAGGTTCATCTTTGCAACTCAGGAGGCACTGTGCTGAGATTGCCACTAAAGAAATAATGCAAGTGTGAAGTGCAAGGGTGGTTCAGCTAAGCGAGCTCGGCTTCTTGTTTTCCTCTGGGCTTCCATTGTGCCCAAGTACGTACTCCAACTAACCTCACATATTATTTAGTAGGAGGGAAAGCTTTCCATCCAAAGCCAGCTCAGGTGAGCACCTGCTTCTAGGATTGCTCTCCTGGAGGGCTAGCTGTAGCAGGGAATTATGGCAAAGCCCTACAGATTTTCTTGTGTTACAATTTTACAGACCAGGGCTCCCCCTAGGAGTTTCCTTAGCAGTCCAGAGAGTAATCAATAGTTCCCAGATATTATTCTGATTTTTTTCCTTGTGCTTATTTTCTTTTCTGTCTTTCTTTTGTTCTACGGTGAATAGTTACTTGAATGGCTGAGTTGCTGAGAGATTCCTGGCTTGCAGGAGCAGCTCCTAAATGCCAAGCAAGGCAATGGCATTGACATATCAAGATAGTGCTCTGCCCATAGTTTGGGTTGGTGTCTGAGGCTTCTTATTCAAATGAGCTGCCTTCAGGAGGCAGAATTTATTGACTTAATTTATAAGTGGGGAAACTGAGGCACAGTGAATGGATAACATCTGTGAATCCCCACTCTTGTCCTTCCTTATAACCCCTAATAACCCAGGCTAGCCAGAAGAAAAGAAGTAGTGAGATTCTGAAAGAAAAGTATTTTGTTCATTCAGCAATCTTCCTTGCTTGCTTTTTCTTTTTTTTCTGGTTATTTTTATCCCTTGTGCCCCCAGCTCAGCACAGCTGATGGTGCAGTTCTGGGGCATGTGGTTTATTAGCAAATTATTGCTCTCCAGCAGGGGACCCAAACTCGGGTTTTGATTTAAGAGCAGTAAAACCAGTTGAAACTTTAAAGTATTATGTGGAATCTGGAGATTTTTAGTCAGCAGAAAGTGAAAGCACTGACAAAGTTGGGCAGAATATACTCTTGTTAAGTCTCATGAAATGAGGGAAGTATGGGCAGAGAATGTACTAGTGAGAGCAACTGCCAGCTAGGAGGAGCAGGCATGGAGGAGAGGATTGGAGTGCAGTAGCATGGATAATTTAGTGGTGGGGTTGGCAGCTGACTAAGTAAAGCTCTCATTAATTCTATAATGTATTATTTAGCATTATTTTTAAATATATTTCTAGAGAAGCCTTGGTGCACTGTAATAATTTAACAGGCTAAGGAGGAGCCAGGTAACACATGCTGAAGAATCTTTTCCTGTATGTGCATGTAAGGGTTTCCAACAGCTAAGGGAGCAGAAACAGCCATTTGCAAATGGTAGGAACTGGTGAGGGAGATGGTAATCCTTAAATTTCACTGGACCAACACCCTACCTCTGCTGTACCACACTGGTACTTAAAGTAACTTGTTGGTAAGTGTGGTCAGAGCTGGCCTGGGTGAAGTCCTTTCTTGGTCCTGAAGCAGACTGGAGCAATGCATCTTGCTGAGTTGTAGTGCATGACATGGCCATGAGCAGTTACAGTTAACATCCTTAAGTGGCACAGCTGGAAATGGAGGAGGACAATTATCCTCATCCAGGCAAAACCAAGCATTGCCAACAACAGAAGTGCTATTCCCTAAGCTTTGGGATCAGGTGACATGCCTTGGTGCTCCCCTTGGGCTCAGGAAGCTGTGCATGTGCCTCTGGGAAGTTTGGCATCTTGAGTACTGGCAGAGTTGCCTAATAGCCCAGGACTTTGAGATTGCTATCTGAGAAATCAAAGATTTATTTGAGCCTTCTTATATGTCCCTGTCCCCAGCTCTGCTGTGCTCCTTCCAGACTATTTAACTGACTGGTTAAACTTCTTTTCATGGTCTGCTTTATGTCAAGCCTCTTCTCTCCAGTCCTGCTTAGTTATAATGCTTGCCTGCTTTTCCTGAGCAGAAGGTGTGAGATTGTTAATGAGCTCATTAACAGGAGCTGATCAGAACAGAGCTGATCCCAAAGCAGCAATAATTAGGGAACAGTACCTTTGATTTTGTTTCCCTTATTACTGTTTATGAGTGTTTGTGCTCTGGGCTGCTTTTGAGGCTGGTGTCCAGGCAGCTCATTCCACCTTTACCCGGCACCGTGCTGCCTCTTAGTGTCTGGTGTGTGAAAGCTCCCACCGCAGGGAGGCCGTGCTGCCAGCCTCGGCCTTCCCTGGAGAGCCAGGCACAGCAGCAGTGTTGCACTAAGTAGCTGAAAAGAGAGGTCACTGCCACCTTAGTGCACCGAGGCCGTTTTCTTTCAGGCTAGGTTGTTGTGTTCATGTTGTCCGATTAGCCCACTGTTTCCCTGCTGGAAGCAAGCTTGAAAGACAAAGTTTTCCTTGAGATGTCTATGCTGTGGTTGCCAGGCAGAAGAGAGGAGTGATTCCCAGAACTGTTGGCTATGGTAGGGTCCCCTCCTGGGCAGTCTGTTTGCATACAAGGAAATGAACCCTCCTGTGCCTAGCTGTGGTTACTCCCCTCCACAGGAAGACACAGGGGTGGCTGTTGGGATACTTGATGAAGAGACAAGAAGATAACCAGTGTTTTTCTGCACAGAAACTTGTTGCTGCCAACACTTGGTACAGGTTTGAAGGAGGCAGTGGCGAATGCTCTCTTGACTATACTGTGCCGACTCCTGTTGCTGTTGTAGATTTAGTTGAGTAAAAGAGACTGGAAGTGTCCCTTTGTTCCCTCTTCACCCAACCAGACAGCTGGGGGTGCTTTGTAGATTTCTGCATCCATTCACAGTGCTAAAATAAGACCCTGTCCCTCAGGCTTTGGTTTAGGCCAGTGTCTCTCCTTTTATCCTCTTAATTGCATAAAGATACCTAAGATCTACCTTTCCTTGTAGACCCACATGCAAAGAAACTAGAGCAGGCCAGAACAGGATCAGATCTAGCAAAAGGGTGCTGGCCAGCCACACAATAGGCAGCGTCAGGGCTGGTTTGGCTTTGTCTGGGGTGAAGATGTTACAGTTGTCTGGGCTAGAATACAGGCTGAGCTGGAAGATGATGAGTTCTCTGTGCTGTGATCTCTACACAGATCTGGGATTCTTCCCTTGATCTAGGGAGGAATAGTAGCTGAACTCCCACCATTTGAATGGGGATGAGTCCTTGTAAACTGGGAGAAGAAATGATGGTGACTGGAGTGGTGTTTTTCAGATTGATGGATTGGAGGAGAAGCTGGCACGCTGCAGACAGAGCATGGAAGAGGTGGACCTTAAACTGCGCAGGGAGAAGCTCAGCCCTGAAGGAAGGTATCGCTGACCAGCTCCTTACACAGCTGTGTGTGTGCACTTCAGCTTAGCTGTCATCCTGCTGTAGGACCAAGCAAGGGCTCTTGAAGGGGTGGGAATGTGTGATTTGCCCATGACAAGACTTTCTTCCCACAGCTTGGAGCTTTCTTGGGGAATTTGCCTCTGTGAGAAGTGCAGTGATATAGAGAGAGAGCTGTATCTTATTAACAGCCTGACTCCAACCTGTGCCACAACCAGACAAGTAGTGCCTGAAACTTGCCAGTTCATTTGCAGGCCTGGCTCCTGGCCTGTTAGGAACCTGCTCTGTGAATCTGGCAAAGGTTTTCTGCACACTGCTGCTCAAGCCTTGCAGAAGCCACCTGGGTTCAATCAGGGAGATGTGCAGCAACTACTACTGAGGGCCAAACCAGGCTGGGATCCTGCTGCAAAAGCAGCTGAGGGAAAACATCTGTGCCTGTGTTGCTAATGTGTCTGGATGTAGGGATGACAGACACAGCCAGACACACTGGCTTTTCTTGGGAATGGTAAGAGGGACAATTCCCCTGAAATCTGTGGCTGCCATAGAGGCAGCAGTTGTTGGCTTCTAGAGCTAGGACTCAGGCAAGGACTTTGGCCTGGATTTTGTAGTAGACATAGGCAGAACCTGCTGTTTCTCTTGAGTGTGAAGCAAGGGAATTAGATGTCCCAGCTGATTCTCAAATCTCTCTACTTGAGGACATTTTTTCAGTCACTAGCATCCTACTGCTCTGCTCCAAGCAAAAAAGGCTGGGAAGCTCAGTCATCGGTCCAGGGAATGGTCCTGATGATCCTGGTGTTTGCTCTACACTACTGTCCTGTAGAACCCCATTACAAATTATCATAGCAATAGTGATGTCTCCATCCCCTGATATTTATCAGGCTTACTTTAACTTCTTTGTTAAATTTTAAACTCTCCTTTGCACTCCCCCCTCTTCCTTTACTGGAGTTCTGTATCCCCATCAATATTTAGACAGGGTCCTGTCTCTTCCCGTCCCTCTTGTCAGTAGCTCCTCAATCTCAACAATCCTTTCCTGGCCTAAATTCTCCTTGTTAGTGTCTGTATTCTTTATCTGGGGCTTAGGTGGCCAACAACCAAACCTACAGCTGTGGTAACTTGACAGGATGTGATATATGATAGTTTCTGACTGAAATATAGGGCCTAGAGCAAAGAATTATGAATTAAGATTCTTGGGGCCTTCTATGAGTTTTACAGCTTGTATGGAAATAGAACTTCCATTGTCCTCTTCCAGACCCTTTGAAAAACCCTGGAGGGAAGGTACCATGATCAAAATTATCGATTCAGTGTATAGCACACAAAGAGGAGCTCTGCTTTTCCACTTTGAAGTTCAGTTGTCATGGTTTCTTCATGTCTCTTTCTCAAAGCTTCTTCCCTTGACTCTCTTCACAAGGCAAATTTTTAAGTAGCAGCTCAGTCATGTTGGTAAATCTGTCTTCTCACTTCCTACTGGCTGCCCTCCACCCAGTTTTCTTCTAGAGCCCTTTCCTCTCCTGCTGCTCCTGATGTAGCTTGCTTTCTTGCCCTCCCTTACACTTAGCTGTACACATAGATTTGGATCTCTTTCCTCCTACAGGTTGTTCTTGCTGTGCCCCAAGGGGAACAACAAACTCTGTTACACTTTCTGCCTTCTCTGAACTAGGAGATAATTTGTTAGTGCATGTTTATTTATGTGCGGAGTCTGAGAGGACTGACCGTGTCCTCACTGCCGTAATGGAAACACTGCTGCTTTCAGGAATTTCATTTTGGGTTTATATTTTAATCTGAGTATTAATTAATCATCTTGTGCAATTTAACACAAGGGCTGGGTTGGCCTAACTTATCTTTTCTGTTATTATGAGTCTTCAGTCTAATGACAGGTTAACTCTATTAGTACTGGGCTTGGATTCAGCTTGTTTCCTTTGAGTTCACCAATTTTTGTAAAGTGGATACCTCTGACAAAGGGATCCCAGCTTCAGATGGTGAGAAGAATTACTATTCGAGCACTAAGCCAAATGTGGGGGGGGGGAAGGATCCTCCAGAGAGTACATAAGGACCTTGCCCCATCCCATAGCTGTTTCAGAACTTCCTGCCTCACCTAGGGGGAACTGGAGCAGGGAAATGACCCAAGAGCCCTTTCTAGCTGTTTGCCTACACTGCTCTCCTGAAAGGAGAGATAGGAAGCAATTTGGGGGAAGGGAAAAATAATCTAAAATGCTGCATCTCTTCTGTTGCACAACTGGGTATTTCTAAACTGTCACCCTTCCAGCAGGGAGGGGTGAGGGGCTCATCCTCTGAGCAGATATCCCTGCAGTGGGGACAGTCTCTCTTCCATCATGTAAGCAAAGAAATAGGCTGTGTTCTGCCTCGCAGGTAATGAACTCCTCTTCTCATTACAGAAAGTCACTGGAGAGAGAGCGAAACTTACTAATGACCAAAGCTGACAACTATGGTAAGAGCTTCATTAAAAATGGTCCCTCTGGGCAGGATGGGATCAGTGCTGCAGCTTAGCTTTTTCTTCAAGCTCCTGCCACCTCTGACTTCTGCTTTTGAATTTAGCTTCAACCAAAGGGAGCTAGACTAATGGAAATGTAGTCAGCATATTATAATAGGAGTCTGCATCCTCCTACTTGAGCTGTACTTCCATAGGGAAAAAAATAAGCATCAGCTAATGAAGGGGAGAAAATGTCCCCCTCCACACACCCCAAATTACCAGTCTTTAGATAATCATAGCTAACAGATTGGCTTGAGTAGCTTGCAACATCCCTCTCCCCAACCTTTTTTTTTTCCCTTAGTAGAGGCTTGCTAGGCAAGAAGGTAAGTGCTATCAGGAGTGTAGCAAAATATACCTTCCTTGGGGAAGGTTCTTACTGCATCAATTTATGAGGCTACTCAGCACAAGAGCATAGCAATTCACACTGATGTGCTGCCTGCACTTCTAGAGAGCCAGGGTCTTTCCTTGGTGCAAGTCCTGCTGTAGACACTTAGAATGAAAGCCTCTCTGAGATACCATATTAACAGGACTTCCATTCCACTAGAGGTGATGCTTTGTACATCTTTGGGTATTGATCAGTGTGTTACCTGCTTGGCAGTACTCTGCAGCTGTGCAAGCAGCAGAGTTCACACAAGGGAAAGAGGCACAAGTATTCTTTTGGGTCTAGAGGGTTGAAAGCTGGGGTATGGCCAGCAAATTTGTAATTTTAACTCATGGTAGAGGACTGTTTCCAGAAGAGTAACAGTTATTTTAAAAAGACTGAAAGCTGTTCCCTAAGGGCCTACCACTAGAGACAGCAGAAGCCTGAAAATTGCTGCCACCCTTTTACCAGCCAGCAGTCAGCCATTCTTTGTGGCATCAGCAGAGCAGTGTGACAGCAGCTCAGAGACAGCAGCAACAGCCTCACCTAATGGTGACATCACTGCTATGGCCTCTGACTAAATCTTTCCTTATTCCAGCTGATGCACTTGAGGCCATGCATCACTTTAAGTTGGCACTGCTGTGCATGAGGTTATGTGACCCCGTCACCTCCTTTGTGGCCTTGCAGATTCAAGCAGGTTGCTCTGTGGCTGCATAAGAATGCTTGTATTAGGTGAAGAATGGGGCAGAAAGAACAGCTACAAGTCACTTTTGATTATCAACACCACTTGGGGAACTGCTGGAGGCTGCTTGTGCAAACTGTAGAGACAGTAAGGTGTGCAGTCTCTGCAGATGACCTCAGCAACAGAAGCAGTCAGTCTCTGGACAGTGCACACCCAACCTTGCCTGACACACACTTGGTGCTGTTTGGCCTTGCAGTCTGTAAGGCTGGAGGCCTCACTGCTTGCCTGTACCAGCCAGCAAAGTTTTGTGGAATAGAACTAGTAAGAGTGGGATTCTCATCTTTGGTAAAGGGAACCAAACAGAAATGGAGATTGGCAAGACTCCATACTTGAAGTAGCCACTGTGTTCCTCTCTCTGCATCTGTGGTTCTAAGGTTGCTTTCCTTCTCCCCGGTTTACCTAGCTCTAAAAAAACTAAAAGCTTCAGACCAAACAGAATAAGAGTGTCCAGGTTTAGACTTCTTCCACAATGATCTAATGATCTTTCTGAGGTGTAAGGAAACACAGATTCTGCAGCATTCAAAGGTGGCTACAGTTGTGTTTAAATTTTAGCACTAGAAAGAGCTACCAGGCTGTTACATCTAGAAGATAGTAGAAATAGCTCTCTGCCCTCCCATCTCCTTCATTCCCCTAGGGAACAAGCAGTTATTCTAATGACACACAGTCTGTCCTTAGTAGAGGCCTACAGCAATGTCATTTCCCAACAGGAACTGGTCTGGCACTGAAGTATTCCCAAGCACAGCTACCATGAGTGTCAGGATGAGAGCAAATGAAAGGGCTCCTACTAGTTTGGGTAGTTACTTCCCATTCAGCACAATACCCTGTTGGCAGCTTTGCATACTGCTCCCAAAATTTTTGCCTGTGGCCAAGGTGGCTTTGTGCTTCTTAAGAGAGTTTTGATAGGAGATGCAGCTGCAACATGAAGAACCTTCACAGGCAAGTCTTTTGTTTGTTTCCCAGAGAAAGAACTGAGTGTACTTCGTAAGGAAAATCGCAAGAATGCTGCCCTTGCTGTGGCCATGGCATTGCTGATTGCTCTTATTTACGCCTGCTGGACAATGTGATTGCACTCAAGAATTCTCCCTGCTGAACAAATGACTCCTGCAAGGAGCTCTTCCTCCTCTCACCATTGTGCCTCCCCCAAGGGTGAGGATCAGCATTTCAAATTACTGTTCTTGTTTATTGCGTCTCCAAGCCTTGTTGTAGGGAAGATTTTTCTCTGCAAATTGAGGAGGACAGGAGACAAACCAGAAATCACAGCACACTTGCACTTGGAAATCAGGTCAAGCAGAGCTCAAGGTGGTGCCATCTTAGCCAAAACACAGTCAGGACCGTGCAGCCTGATCCAGGAAGGCAATACATTCTCCCTTTTGAAGAGGACCTTTGTGATTACAGACAGGTGCTTTCTGCCCAGCCAGGTAGAATACACACCTTGGCTCCTGTGACACAGTCATAAACTGAAGGGACCAAGCTCTTGATGCAAAGGGTAATCTGTAGGTGTTGCAATTCTATATATTTCCAGAGCTGAGCTAAAGATGCTTCCTCTTCCACCCTGACTTCCAGGACCAAAGGAATCCTACATCCACAAAAGCAGATGGGATGTAGCTATCTCTGCAAGCATCCACATTGAGATATGGGTGCTTGGGCTGTGATATGATCTGCCTACCTCTCCAGTGCATCAGAGCTTGGTAGCCATTTTGTGCCTTTGAGAATCAGCATTTGCAGAAGACAATTTACTATCAACCCTGAGAGATCAAAGTGCTTCTGTAGAGCTTTAAATAAAATAATTTGACCTTTTAATTTCCTGTTTTGTTTATTTGGTGGATTTTTTTCTCCTGTTCTGTCCTGTTTTTCAGTCACTGCTTTATTCTCATCCTACTATTTCCTTACTGGCACATATTGCACTATGTTAAGCCTAGACTAAGTTATGCACTTAAGCTCCTGGTCAGTGAGCTCTCAACAGTGGGTTACTGGTCTGTTGTGGCCTGGAATGTACTTCCTTTGACTGGAACAGGAGCCTGTCCATGCTGCAGGAGTTCCAGAGACTGTCCCCTGTAATGCCCTCTCATTCCAATGCTCTAAACTTGCCACAAAAACTTTTAAAATGGACTGCCTTGAATATTTAACTCTGCTGACATTTCTCTGTTGCCACACTGACAGACACTGCTGGCCCGAATTGTGTGGGAAGCAAAGGAAAGAAGGACTGCTGTGAACTAAAGGGGCTGTATTGGTAATAGAACATGAAAGCATAGAAGTCAACACAAAATGATACAAAGCCTAATAACAATACATTGTGCAATTAACATACATAAACACTCCCTTCAGCAAGACCTTCCTCACCCGCCCTTCCCAACATAATCCCTCAGCAGGGAAGCAAGTGGCTTGGTGGCTCATGCCTGCCTTCTTGAAGGGAGATTTAGAATCAAGGTTCAGTGCATCAAAAATAAAAATAAAAGCAAATTAAAATGAGCAACTAGAGACAACTGAATAAACCAAGTATCTATTCATAAAAGCTAGCCTGCAGACTGACCGGGTTTTTTTGTACCCTCCAAGGCCTACACTGATCCTAGTTTAGTTCCTAGTCACTCTTCTGTCTGCCAGCCCACAGGAGTCAAAGCTCTGAGCTGAGGACACAACACTGCAAAGGAGCCTGGCAGAGGGAGCAGCATGCATTCCTGGCACTGGAACAGCCTCAAGGCAGTCCACAGAGGTCCTTAGAACTCAAATTGCTGGTTGGTTTAAAAAACCAACTGTACACAGGGTTGGACACCAGAGGCTGAGGTACTTTATTGCGCCCACTGGGAGAGATTCCTCCCCATCCCTCATGGAAATGCATTTGCCAAGACAAATCTACTAATGACACATCTCTTGTTGTTTAGGGGGAAGAGCCATCATTTCTTTCATACACGTTTTACCAATGTTTGAGAGCAGAGAGGGTCTACAGATCAGCCAAGAGGATGCACTGACAGCCTGCAGTCCTTCAACTGCTTTGGCAGACCTGTGTCTAAGTCAAGGTTTCTATGTCTTGCTGCACAGGCTTGTTCAAATCATTCATATGGATGTGGAGAAAAAGACAGTCTAAACAACTGCTATAGATACTAGAACTATAGCTTTCCTTAAGGCACAGTTCAGATAAACCCCTAAATCACTTTTCTCCCTATTGCCAATCAGTGTTTAAAAACAAGCCAAGAACAAAACAAAACAAAAATTGGACTATCTTGCCTTGCTGTTTATCCCAAAGCATTCAACTATGCGTTATCTTCTGATTTATGCGGAAGACTTGGCAAAGTGCCATGGAAACCAGAAATGAAGGTAAAACATGCAACAGAAGCCATCTTTGAGGCTGGCACAGAAGTGCATGGAGAAGTCTTGACACAAATGCCATACTGAGAGGAGTTTCCTGGCTCTGTGCCTTCACCTCAGATGCAGTTCCAGAGTCAAATGAGATACAGAGGATTTCAAAGCCAGTCTGATATTTTAAAAGGAAAGTCTGGTTACCTTTCCGGTGGGTACAGTCAGGGGACAGGAATTGCTTCTTATTAACCTACATGGTTAAAGTTGAGATACCTTTCTACTGAAGCCCTGGGTCTTTTTAACTAAGTTAGACATTCCCATCATTTGTTCCAGAGACTTCAGCATCCTAGCTTTTCTATGTCTTCCCTCCCACATCCACTTTCCTCGCTGAAGGTTTAGGTAATAATGTTAAGTACCAAGAACCAAAGCACCTTGGTCTCAGAAGTACCATGAAGCATGTACATCACCCATGGTACATTTTCACAAATTAGCCCCAGGCTGCTGGCTTGGCATCAGTCACTAACCTGGAGAGGGGAAATCCTTGTCACAGCAGCTTGCAGAGGTGTGAGCACATCAGATCTATGCCAGGAACTGTACTCATCACCTGCATTGGCCTTTGTCCAACAGGGAACCATCACATAAGAATTGCCAGTGGCTAGCAGAAGCGTTGGAGACACTGACAAGAATATATAACTTTTGCCCACAGCTCGCCAAAGACTTAACACCCTCCACTGGATAGTGTAGCCTTTGACAAGGCCAAGGAGACAGCTGGCAGGGGGAATGCAGGGCCTCTTCAATGTGCTGTTGCCCAGCCCTGCTATCAAAACATCTCTGCTCCTTCCCACACTGCAAGAGAAGCAGAAGCCTGGGGAGTTCTGCACACACAGAGCTCCACAAACCTTGCTGAATGTTTGAATAGGAGCAAAGAAAGCTGCCAGCCCCTTGGCCTCATGCATGCAGTAGGTCAGGACAAAAGGACATTAGGCCTCAGCTCCAGGAGTCACCTTGGGTACTCTGGCAGCAGGTGCTACCTGGGCTGTACTCTTATATACACTACCAGGGCAAAGCCTCATCCTGTGCCTTCTGCATACCACCCTCTGGTTCCATCATCTCCAGGAAATCAGCTCTGGAGAATATCAGGATAGAAGTTGTGGAGCCTTCCCAGTCCCATCAGTCCCTGAAGAATCCAAGGTGGGCTCAGCCCCTCCCTGCACCCTCAAGAGAGCAGGGTTAGGGGTGGTGTGCTTGGATGAAAGACAGAACAGTCTCCTTTGATAGCTTCTCTGGATCTTGTCTTTTCTGAGAGTCGTGCACTTTGACACCTTCCCCCCATTCCCAGAAGAGGCGGCTGTAATGGCAGACACTGTGGGCAGAGAGGAGAGCAAGGTTAGTTTGGCAGGGAAGGGAAAGGAAAACACTTCCTTTCCAGCAAGGGACAGCTGCCCTTGCTATGGGAGCCACACAAAAATACTCAGGTGCCTTAGAAAAGACCAGTGCATTTATTCATTCACCTTACAAACTCTACAGCCCTCAAAGTAAAGCAACAGCCAAGCCTAAGAGATTTCCATGGAAACAAACTTGTTAATTCTAGCTTCACTCAAATTCAGTTCAGTATTTGCTGCAAGGAGTCAGGTCACTAGGGAAAAACCCTACCTCCCCCTAAGTTTCTCAGAGGATGAAACTGTCATTGCAGGCAATGGAAAGACCTTAATGAAGAATTTAGAAAGTCTGCCAGGAGCAGCAACCTAATCCCTCACCACATACCTACCATAATCAGTAACAGCTGTCCTATGTAGCTTTGCAAACAAACAGCACTTCCCACGGCACAAAAGCAGCTAGGATCATTCCCTCCTTCCCCTCATGTGAAATAACTGAGCTCTGCTTTGCTGCTGAGAGTTCTGGTCCTACAATGCCATCTCCCACTCCATCCATCAAGCACAGCCCTCCCTCACTGCATCCACACAGTCCCAGCTATAATGAAATCAGAGCTGCTAATTACTGCCAACACAGCAGCCTTTAGTTTTGTACAATTACTGACACTTAATATTCATAGCTTATTTAATGCTTCTGTTCTAACAAAGCAGTACTAGCACAGCGACAAGAGCACATGTCAGTGGCTAATTATAGACATATTAGTACTCACTAACCACAACACATCCCTTCTGGAGTCCCACACAAGCACTCCCTCCACCTCCTCAGCCATTCCTGTAGATTCATGCTGGCCTATTTCAGAGTACATAGGCAGAACTAACCCCACCCTGACACACTGAGGGAAAAAACATCATGTGCCTCTCCTTTTAAGCCTGTTCTGCCATTCACCACATGAAGAAAGGCTTAAGGATTCTTGAAAGCGCTGCTCTAAGACAGTAAGGAGGTTCAAAGTGAGAAAATCAGGAGTGCTATTTCATACCAAGTTCTTACTCAGAGGCACAGTCTTGAGTAATGGTGGTAGTGCAGAACATCTCTACCCAGGAGCCTTGAGGCATCAGACTCAGGATTTGCTGTACTTAGGTAATGCCCTCAGCCTAGTACTCAGTAGATAGGAATGGTTTTCAGCAGCCACAATGTTAATAACTGTCCAATGGCATGCCACTTCATCCTTTCCCAAGGAGCTACTGTTTTACTCTCTCACTCTCTTAAAAAAAAGCTCCCAGCTTCCCACAGGTTATTCCAGAGCCTGGGCTAAATGAGCTGGGATTTGCTTTTAAATTAGCAACTTCCAACCAAACATGTTAAATACAGAGATGCAGCAAACTACAGTTGCTGGGCTCAATTTCTACTTCCCTGCATGCAGGAAGTTCAGTAACTTGTAGTCTGCTGCAGACAGCGGAACGAAGTTGTGACACGTTCGCTATTCATAGCCATTAATTGCAAAATCCATGATTCCACATCAGCAGTTTCCTGACAGCCTGACAAAGTGCCAGCTCCTGCAGCACACCCTTCTGGTGATCAGCTACACTTGCACTGCAAACGACTGCAAGGACACAGCCCTGCAGAGCTCCCTTCCAAACACCCAGGCACACACACACATTGGCAGACACATACCCGTCCACAGCCTCAGCTCTGGCTCATACTCACTGAAAGGGTGCAATGGCTTCGGGAAGGAGGTTGTATGTCGCTACATTGGTCATTTTGTTGAAGAAGAATTTCTTCTTGAAGTTTTTGCTGTATGCCATTGTCCAGGGATCTAGCAGAGGGGTTACAGGGATCAGGTAGAAAATAAAAAGAGGGGGGGAAAAAAATCACAGAAGAAATACACATACAGTAAAAGTAGGGAGGAGGAATCTATAAGAGTAACTGTGATCCTTCTATTACTCCTTTTTCCTTCCTTCTCCCAAGACAACCTGCTTCCCAAGCTGTTCTCTATTCACTGAGAAAAATCCC